CCAGCCGTGGTGGCCCAGCTGGCAGCCCGTGGAGTGCTTCTGTGCCGAGGCTGGACCTGGTCCAGTCCCCTGAAGCAGCCCTACAGGGCTGTGTCCCCCAAACTCTTGCGGCCCAGCCTGGGGCCATTGGCCCTGTGTCTTCCCACCTCCATAGCAAGAAGGGGCAGTCTCTCTCCTTACTCAAGGCAGGCTGCTCTCCGAAGGGGGGTCCCCCAAGCACTGAGAGAGGCAGGGCTCCCTGGGGTTAAGCAAGGTGAGACCATGTATCTCCTCTTTATCACCAGGACTGGTGGCTTCTGTGCAGCCCTCGGTTGCTCAGGGACCGCAGTGAGCTCTTCTCCTCTCACCGACCCTCTCTGGGGCTCCTCACATCTCTACTCTCAAATGCTTAGTCGCGTTCCAGGTTTTGGTGGGAGAGTGCTTGCTTCAAGAGGTCTTGTGTCCTTCATAACCTGTGTCTGAACCAGTCGTGTCTCCCTCTGCCCCTTTGTCCTCAGTCTTGTCCCTGCCTCCCACCCGTGGGACAGGGTGCTACGCCAGCCCCGAGCCCCCGGCCCCTTTCAGTCCTCAATTCAGACCCCCTCCCCAAGCTCTGCAAAGACACCCTATATCTCTCCAGCTTCACTCCCGCCTCCTGACCCGCCTCCTTCCTCCCCACCCAACACTGTGCAAGGTCTGTCTCTTCTCATTCTCCGTTCTTGTCTCCAGGTTAAGCCAACAGCCTCCTCAATGAGCCCCTCTGTCTCGCACCAGTACCTCCGACCAGCCACTGGCTCTCAGTCCCTTTCATTTCCTTCACTGGCTTCTGGGTTCGGCATCTTCTCCCCCCTGCCAGCAGCTCCCCCTTCCCCTGGCCTTTACCTTGGGCTCCGAGTCTCAGCTTCCCATCCAGCTCCTCTGTTTGGCCCAGCCAGATGTACGTAGTCTCAGCAGGCACCTTGTCTTCATCTATTTCTTTCCTTCCCACTGCTCTGGTTTGGCTTCCTCCTCTACGCTGACTCGGTTTCCACCTGGGGTGCGTGAGAGTGCAAAAGAAAAAGGCTCTGTGCTTTCAAGCCTGAAGCCCAGCCTCCCAGTTGCTCCCAGCACAGCTGGCTGCAGCAGTGGTGGGGATGGTCCTGGCCCATCTCTGCCACGCTGAGCGGGACCATGGTCACCTGCCGGGCAGGGACAGCACGTATGCTCACAGCGTGGGGAGGTCCGCGCGTGCTCAGCTCAAGGGTAATCACCCCGACCTCTTCAATGCTAAACGGGGCAACCTGAATGGTGATTTTTCTTTTCCCACTCAGGCTTTTAAGTTGTCCAAGTGGGGCAGATTTTCACAAGAAGAGAACTCGGAAACTAAGGACCCCCCCTTGCAGAACGTGAAGTCCCTTTTCCAAAACGCCCAGCCTTTAGGACAGTTTCAGAAAAGCCCAAGAAGGTCAGGGTGGTGTGTTTTCCCTTTTCTGAAGCGCTCAGAAAAAGTGGGGCCAGTTGACAGTAAAATAAGTAAATAAAAAGGAGCCCAGGGCATATACCTGGTGTGGAACATTTCAGCCCTAACGAAGTTTTGTAAAGTTAGAAGCAATTGAGAAAGAATCTTATTATGGCAAGTGCTTGACAAAAAGTAATACTAAGTGGTAGTTTTGATCCTGGCCATAACAATATTCATGAGCCTGTAGACACATACACCCATATAAATATAAATACATGGCCGTGCAAAAAAAAAAAAAAAAAGTAAAGCATCTTTCCTTGACCTAACTAGATGCAAAGTTAAATTTTATCATGCTGGAGCTAAAGATGCCGTTGGAAATGTCTCAGCAGAAGTGCTTTGTGGTTAGTTAGCCCAGAGAAAGGAGTGCAGAGGAGCGGCGCTGAGATTTCATTGGGAACTGTCGCTTCCCGTTAAAGTGAAGATGAACCCCATAGGTCAGACAAGCCCTGAAAAGTGTAAATCAGGGAGGCTTCACCCTGGAAAGCTCTCGTCTCAGAAGGGTCTGCAGCAGCTTTAGAAATCAGTGGTCAGAAGCAAACTTTGCCATCAGTTTCAGTAACGAATATATAAACAAAGCCCTACAGTTTTACTGAATCTGTGCTATATAATTTAGCCCTGGGCACTCTGTCTTAATGACTTTACAGGACGTTGTATTTTTTTTTTATTTTTCATGATGTAATTGTCATTTGACTTTCTGACAGCTTTTTCTTCCCCCCCCCCAATGAGTTACAGTCAATTAAACGGAGTTTCGCTATGGCAAAGTTGATCCAGAAGAAGGTTATTTCCACCCATTTGTTTGCTTTTCCACCTGTGAAATAGTTTCTAAGTCAGACAAAAACTGGCCAAACAAAATATCTTCCACAGGCTGTTTTCTAAAGCAGGGATTCACCAACTTTCTCTCTGTTTTCTGTTTTGTTGCATACGGTTTTGTTCAATCTGGCTTGGACTCTCCTGGCTTAGTGCTAGGGCTGATGCCATGAGTTATCATCTAGGGAAACTTTGCTCTGAAAAGTTGAAACTTTGCGCTGAAATCCACCTGAAAAGAGCTGAGACCTAATTTAAAACCTTCTGTAGGCTCTGGTTTCTAGACGCCTTCAATCTAGCAGATCTCTAATTTGAAGAAGGTTGAAGTTAGCCATGCTTCACATGGGGCTTTCTGCCCCCAACACTCACGTTACTACCGTTGCTTGTAAGAGTGTTCCTGATGAGGGTAAGGGGACTTCTCATAAAGCGACGTATTTGCAAGATTGAGGTCCCACACGATATTTTGTCCGACATTTTGTGAGTGATTAAAGGCTTGATTCGTCAAACAGGGCATTCAAACTGAGGTCCTTAAATTAGGGGCTAGCGTGTTGACGACTCCTTCTCCGGTGAATGGAGAGCGTTGGGGACCTGTGAAGGCAATGCTACCCACCTCAGAGCCCCAGTGCCCTCTGGCAGTCCCCATCTCCCTC